AGAATGCATTCCTAGAAAGGCTCATGCAATTATGCGAGCCACCAAAAAAGTAAATGTTGAGACCCTAAAACTCATTTTATCCCTCACTTTGAGTGAAACCTTGCCAAACCTCACAAAAGATCACTTGAGAATACCCTTGGATAAAGAACAATGTAGCTCATGTAACCCCTTAAGGACCTCCTCAAGAAAGGGATGAGAGTATGATGATCAAATATCTAATAGCTTAGGATCCCATTGGCAAGAATGTTAGCAAAATACAAGACATACTACCAGATTATGCGAATTTGATTCTTAACACTCCTATCACAGAAGGTGATTCAGATACACTCATTTGGACAAAGGCAAAAAATGGATTTTTTTTCACAAAACACATTTACAACTCCTTATGGGAGGATCACGAACCTTATTTGGATAGTGAGGGAAGAGTGTGGATTAAAGTAATATGGAAATTACATATTCCCCCCAAGTTTAAACTATTCTTCTAGAGATTAATAAAAAAAAAATCATTATTTGCAAAGTTGATCTTCTGAAAAGAGGAATCACCGTTAACACTAGCTACTCTTTGTGCCAAAGTCATGATGAGGACTTCGTGCACTTCTTCTTTTGGTGCCCTTTGGCAAGAGCTATGATATTTGCTAGCACTTGGCCTATAGTTTTTTATTCAAATATGCAAAACTTCCAAAAGGCTTTGTCATTTACGACAAGGAATAGGGCTGCAAGTCGAGCTAGGTTAGGTCGGGTTGAGGCCAACCCTATCCTAACCCTAACTTCTAAACCTCAACCCTAACCCTAACCCACCCCGACTTTCAACCCACCTACCAAATCCTAATCCTAACCCTAACTAAATACCTCCAACCCAGCTTCGGGTTGGGTCCAACCCAACCTTCTTCCCATCCCTTAAAATCTTGTATAAATTCTTAATCTAAGATCTTAACACAACTTTCACTACATATATTAATCCTATGTTTTATTAGTATTTGTTTGTTGATATTTTTATTGGTTCTGTAAGTACAAAATTCAGAAAAAAAAAGTTTTTGAAATGAGTATAGTTTATTATGATTTCTGACTTATAATAGATCTTGTATAGGCAATAAGCTATGTGTGGCACGCAACAGGGAGGAAATAAAGAATAAAATATTCAAAAAACATAAAATATATTATTAAGGTTTTAGTATTTCCAATTAGGATTAAGTGAAGTGATTATCTTAAAAGAAATAATTGATAGTATGTGGTGGAGGCTATACAACTATCATGCATCTAAACAAATCAATGTATGATATATTATATATATAACATATATTTATCTATGGTATGTACTATAGAGTCAGGTTCGGGTTGGGTCAGGTTGTCCGAGGGGTCAACCCTAACTCCACCCGAAGTAAAGTTGGGTTCATAAATTTAAACCACAACCCTAACCCAAGCATCAACCCAACCTAACCCGACTTTTCGGGTTGGGTTTGGGCCAACCCGACCCAAGTTGCAGCCTTAGCAAGGAAGCTAAATAATAAGCTACTCATGCTTCAAGTTTTATCTTGGTTAATTGTAGCTTGGTATTATATTTGTGAAATAAGAAATGATCTTGTTTTTAATAATGAACTAAAAAATATCTCATGGGTTTTGAGCCAAATTCAATGTACCCTTCAAGGAGTGCATTTCTCTTTGGGAGATGGTCACCAGGAAAAAATCATTTGTGACAGGAGAACAATTTCCCCTAATCATTTGCAACAAAATTTACTCTAGTTGCAGCCTTGTGAAAGTTGAATGCATTGTTATCTACGAAAGTATACATTTTGCAAAAAGGAATGAATAGAGTAGTATCAACATCTGCACATACTCAAAAGAGCTAGTGGATGCCCTGGATGGCTTTTTGGAAATTTTTGATAAGCGTCTGGAGCAATATCTTGAAGAAATTAAATCTTTGAGCAAGGATTTTGTTTTTATAAATATTAATTATAGGCCTAGGGAAGTGACCTCAGTTACACATATGGTAGCCCATGAAACTAAAAGCTCTAACGTTTTTTTTTTGTATTGGGAGAACACTCCCACTTGGTTGGCCTTGAGCCCCTGTAGTTTCTGTTAATATTAAGAAATTTTCACTAATACAAAAAAATCCCCATTCGTTAAGTCTTATATTTAGAGTATTAATTTTCATGGTTTAATTCTATATTAATTAACCAAAATTAAGGAAAATTAAGTGCAATGAATAATACTTTTTTGTTGTTGAAGATATGAATAAAATACAACATTTAAAATTAGCAAAAAAATGAAGTTATTTTACTGTTTGGTGGCGAGTAAACAATTCAACATTGGGTCAAATGTGTGCACCCTACATTTCATAATTAAATAATTATAAAAAAAGTTCAAAAAAGGTGAAAGGACAGAAAAGTATAAGAAAATACAAAAAAATGTAGAATACATTTGGGTAAGTCTCTAATATTGCATATTCATCATATCAAACAAAATATGTGTGACAAATAAGAACAATTTTTTTAGAAATAGAAATATAAAAAAAAATTGTAGAAAACTTTTGAAACATATTATTTATTAGCATCATCATCATAATCATAATTAAAAATTGCCACGTGTAAAGCATTTGCACACTTATTGGTTTTAAACAAAAACAAACATGATAAAGAATAAGTACTTTTATTAGCAATGAAAATTAAATCCATTAACACCGTAGCACATCATGATTTGATTGCTTATTTTTGTTAATGTGTATTGATAAGGATGTTAAAATTATTTTTGTTATCTAAAATTATCATGTGCAACACATGTGCATGTTTATTGGTTATATAAAATATATGTAATTAGGGGTGCAACTTGGGCGGGCCCAACCTGAGCCCAAACCAACCCAGTCCGCAATTTTACATGGGTTTGACTTAAAAAATTTCGGTCCTTGGGCTGGGCCCAAAAGTTTGGGCTTTTAAAATTTTCAGGTTGGACTCAAGCCTATCCCTTATGAGCCCAAACTTGGCATGACCTTATTCTAACTTGAGTCCAACCCAACTATGTATGTATGTATGTATGTATGTATGTATGTATGTATGTATGTATGTATGTATGTATGTATGTATGTATGTATACATGCATAAATAGACACATACTTGCATGCATGCATGCATACATATACACATATACATCAATTTTTAGTATGGACTAATTGACCAACCCGAGCATAATGCTATTGCATCAAATTTTAGTGTGGGTTGGGATCAAGCTGAATAGTTTGCACCTCAGGCTTGGGCTATAGGCCCACTTCTTAGGGCTGGGCTTGGGTCAAGCTAAAAACCGGCTCAGCCTACCTAACTTGCACTCCTAGTTATAAGGCTAGTTTTGTAACATGGAGTTTATGGGGCAAATATTAGGCAGCCAAGAAATTAGGAATGCATCTTAGGTGGGTTTAGGTTGGGCTTTGTTTTGTTAAAATTTGAATTGACCTAGCCCAAAATATTGTAAAATGCTAATATGGACAAGCCCAATTTGCACCCCCAAAATCAACATGTCAAAAAACAAAAAAAAGTGTGGCAAACACATGTATATTGAGATGGATGAGTGGAAAAAACTCCATAAAGGATAAGGGGATAAAATGAACGTAAAGTAAGATGATTTGGTCATGTATATATAAGACCTTTGACAACACCATAAGAAGTGAATAAGTGATATGTTGTAAGTTGAATGGTAGGGGTAGTCATGGATAGGGTTGGGCTGGGGCTTGCACTTGTAATGAGGGCTATATCAGAGGTTGGGGCTTGTCCAACTGGGATTCCAAGCCTTCGTGACTATGGTCCAAGCTTGAAATATTGGGCCTAGGCCCCACTCTGATATTTGTGGGCCTAAGAATGGCAACGGGGCGGGGGTCATATTTCCCGTTCCCGACCCTGATTATGAAATTAACCCCCGTCCCCATCCTTGGTCCCCGCGGGGACCCGAATCCCTGATTTTTTTAGATAATAATATTTATTTGAAAAATAAGTATACTTAAATAAATAAAAATTTTAAATTATAAATAATTTTTTAATATATTTTGATATATATATATATAATATAAATAATATAATAATATACATTTAATATATATACAAAATATAAATTATACATAATCGAGGTCGGGGACCTCAATCCCCATCCCCGACCCCAACTCCGATCGGGGATTCCTATTAATCCCCATCCCCGTCTTCGCCCCACCAAAACAATCCCCATCCCCGACTCGATGGAGTCGGGGAAGTCGGGTCCCATCGGGGATGGGGAAAATTGCCATTCCTATGTGGGCATAATGCAAGCTTAGTTTCTGAGCTTGAACACAAAGCTTAAAAAAATATTTAAACCCTCGTAATTTAACAATAGAAGTGGCACTAAACAAAACCAAATGGCGAAAACAGGATTCGTGTAGCGGTCTCATGTAGTTGTGATAAGGCTTGGATGATTATGATTATTAAACATTAAATACGTGTAATGTAATATATTAAAAATAAAATGAAATGACAAATAAATGTCATCCTCCATTCCTCCTCCTCCAGGTGGAGATCATAATTTTTCCATCCTTACCGAGTACCCTGACTTCCCCAACCTAATGGAGTCGGGAATGGAGATTGCCTTAGGGTGGGGATGGTGATTGATAGTGATACTTGGATGGGGATGGGGAGTATATTAAATTTCTCTTATATGAAGTAAATCTATATTAAAAAAATTCATGGGATTCAACTGGGAATCGGGGTAGAGGGTCATTTTATTGTTGGCGAGGATCAGGGTTGGGAATGGGCATTTATTTTAAAGTCGAGGTTGAGGTCCTCGCCCAAACCCGCCCCGTTGCCATTCCTACTTCCAAGCCCGGGGTCAGTTATAGGGCCTAAAGTACTGGTCTAAGTTCTGTATAAAAAAATTTGTGAGTTTGGACCGGACCGAGACTGTACAAAACCTAGACCCAAGATCGAAAGTTCCGGGCCGGGCTGAAAAAGATCATGACGCCCACATTCGCAATTTCACATTATCCTAATTATTATTTTTTCATCCCCATTCGCGCCTTTCGGCCGCGCTTCGTAATTTCAAAAAAGAAAATTGAAAAACGAATTCTAACCTCGCCATCACGGTATCACCCAATCAACCATCTCGATCCTTCTGTCTCGCTCTCTCCATCTTCACTACAAGCCTCGAAACTGCAAATCGAAGGAGATCGTGAAGCTGCGACAGGGACCTTCGAAGCACAGATCCCGATATTACGAGTTCGTCAAGTCCACTCTCGCTGGCATTTGCCATTTATCCTCTTCGTGCTGATTTTTCTCTTCTGCATATTAGGGTTCCGTAAAGGTCGGTTCCTCGTAGTTCTATTTATTCAAGAAGCCCCATCAGTAGATAAAATCTGCGTCATTTGTTGCATTATTCTGATAATCTTCTAGTAGGCATTGACGGAAAATAAGCTTCGATTCGCGTAGTTGAAAGATGGGTGTCGAGGACTACCATGTGATAGAGCTGGTCGGAGAAGGTTCGTTTGGGAAGGTATACAAGGGAAGGCGGAAGTATACAGGCCAGGTATTGGTTGCATTTTCAGTTCTGCTGTGTAGCTTGAGTTGTTCTAGGATCCTCATCTACTGTTGCTTTTGGTTTTATTTTGACGTACAGACTGTTGCAATGAAATTCATCATGAAGCATGGCAAAAGCGAGAAAGACATCCATAACTTAAGGCAGGAAATTGAGGTAATTTTTGTAGTGCCTTTGATAGAGTATTTTCTTCTTCTTTATGTTTTCCGGAGACTTTGGCCAAAATGCTGTCTTGTTTGAGGATTTATCATTCTAAATTAATGAGCTGGTTAACCATGAAGACGGGGAGAGCCAGATAAGAGTGGTCAGTTGACATAACTAGTTCAATGAACATTAGTTATATATTAGATTACTTGTATTTAACCTAATGCTCCATGGAAAAAGCACAAAATCTGTAGGAGATCCCAATTTTTTGACTCCATCTTGTCAAAGTGCCAATGTGCAGTATTGACCCTTAATTGGTTTTCCAGATCGGTTTTATTTTTCAGAGCTTCATCTTATGTATAGCTTGATCTGTTTATGAAGACAATTTAATTTTTAGATTCTTATATGAAATATAACAGTACCATCCTAACCATGGAAATTTGTAAGTTAGTGTAAGCGAAATTGATTCATGGCTTAAACTCTAAGAAAGAAGTACTGCTATATTGTTCGAAGCCAAAAAGTAGCTGATTGTGCCTTTATAGTGTTTCTTTTGCAAGTTATTTGGCAATTGCATTAAGAGGTGCAAGGGCCTTCTAGTGCCCCATGTGCAAGATGCAAGGTGAGATTGCACATTGACAAAGCAAAGCACAAATTTTAGAGAAAGACAAAAAAAACATTAATACATAAGAATATGAAAACTTGAATTTTGAAAGCAATTAGACATTTTTAAAAGCCTGTTGTCTCTAATCAAGGTAAATGTATAAATATAAAACAAATTAGTGAAAGCATATAAATGCGGAACATATCCAAATTGCTTCAATCACTCAACAACTCAAGCATGTGAAAATGTTGATGTTTTTCTATACCACTTAGTTGCATTATGTAAAGTAGCTTTCAGATGTTAGACACCTTGCATTTCTAATCTTGAGAGGTTGGGGCATTTACATTGATATTTCTTAAGGCCCATTGGGGTGATACAACAAAAAGGCCTATTGGAGCAATTCCCAACCCCATGTGATGGGTTTGGATGCAATGCCATTGGCTTGATTTTTTTGCTTGTACATATAATGGAATTGATTTTATGATTTTAATCATTGTCCACTTTATTTTAGTGTTAGGGATCAGAAATCAATAGTGCTATTCATTGATTTAAAAGACGTGCCTAAGTGCACAGGCGAGGTGCATTTTGGGTAGGCGCCTTGCCCAAGTCCTAGGCACATCACTTTCAAAAGGCGCATGCCTGATGCGCCTTGTGCCTTAGCCTAGTTGTGTGCCTTTCGAAAACTTTTTGTTTTTTTTTGAACCTAGAGAACCCCTTATTTGCTAATGTTGTTCATTCATTCATCATAATAAAATATCTTCTTAAAAGGCAATTATAATTATAAAATCATTATTTTTTTGTGTGAAAATTACGAATTGAAGACCCTAACATGGACTTGTTTGGGCTTGCCTTGAGGGGCGTGGCACAAAGGTGGCTCGTAGAATCAGGAATGTAATATGTTTTACATCACATTAACTACTTGAAGTAATGCAATTGAGAAAAAAAAGAGATTGTGGGTTTTACATTATTGAAAATGTTTTATATGTTTGATTTTATTTTTAAATTTTCATTTGAATACACATTACATGTTATGTTTACGTATTTTAATTATAGATAATAGGTTTTTTAAAACATTTATTTTAAAGTTTGAGTTTATATTTTTTATTAATATTATGTTTAATATTTTTTGATTTTTTTGCAACTTTTTAATTTTCTGACATTTTAAGCATTTTTTTTTGTTTTTTGTGTCTTGCCTTGTGCCCTTGGGTGCAAATTGGCCCTATGCCTTTTTGTGCATTGTGCTTTTAAAACACTGGTGCTATTCTTGTTTATGTTATATTACTATTTTGAACAAGAAAGATGACAAGAGCTTTGGGGTGTCAATAGAACCCCCAAAGGGCCTTTTATATTTTACAATACGTACCATTTAGTGATTTAAAAGGCATGCCTGAGGTGCACAGGCGAGACGCATTTTGGGGTATGCGCCTCGCCCAGGTCTTAGGCGCACCCCTTTCAAAAGGTGTATGCCTTGTGCGCCTAGGCATGCGTCTGATGCGCCTTGCGCCTCAGCCCAGGCGTGCGCCTTGCGCCTCAGCCCAGGCGTGCGCCTTGCGCCTCAGCCCAGGCGTGCGCCTTTTTAAAATTTTGCGCTTTTTTGCTGCCCCTATTTGCTAATGCTGTTCATTCATTCATTGCAATAAAATATCTTCTTAAAAGGCAATTAAAGTTAAAAAATCATTATTTTTTATGTGAGAAATAAGAATTTCATACCCTAACATAGACTTGTTCGGGCTTGCCTCGAGGGGTGTGGTACAAAGGCTACTCATAGAATCAAGAATGCAATATGTTTTACATCACATCAGCTACTTGAAGCAATGCAATTAAGGAAAAAAAGAGATTGTGGGTTTTACATGCTTGAAAATGCTTTATATGTTTGCTTTTATTTTTAAATTTTCATTTGAATACGCTTTACATGTTATGTTTATGTATTTTAATTTTAGATAATAGGTTTTTTAAAACATTTATTTTAAAATTTAAGTATATATTTTTTATTAACATTATGTTTAATATTTTTTGTATTTTTTGCATTTTTTAAAATGTTTTTGGCATTTTTTTGAAATTTTTGATTTTTTAGCTTTTTTTTGTAATTTTGTGCCTTTCTTAAAAAGGCGCGCACCTCGCCTTGTGCCTCAGGCGCAAATTGGCCCTTGCGCATTTTTTGCGCCTTGCACTTTTAAAACACTGATACCATTACAAGAAAGCCCTTATGGAGTTGAAAGGAGGGCAAAATAAAAAAATAAGAAAAAGATACAAAATACAATAGGGACTATTATTATGCAGTAAATCAAAACTCTCCACAATCCCCCTTAAATTGTTACGGAGTCATAAGCATTAGTTTGCTCACAAGAAAGAGATGTTTAGATCTCATCATAGCCTTATTAAAAATATCAGCAATCTGCATATTTGTGGCCACATGAGAAAGTGAAATAGAACTAGCAAGAAATAGGTCTCTAATAAAGTGACAATTCACCTTAATATGTTTAGTCCTTTTGTGGAAAACTGGATTTAAGGTAATGGTGATAGAATAAAGAGGAATAGGGGTAGGAAGATGAACATCGAGATCCTTAAAGAGAGATTGTAGCTAAACAATCTCACTATAGACATATGACATAGCTCTATTCTTTGCTTGTGTACATGACTTATAGACCATTTGTTGTTTCTTGAGTTTCTAGGAGATGAGGGAATCACCATTCACCCATGAAGACACACCACCTGGTTGTAGAACGTTTGGTTGTTGGGGAAGCCAACCTAATCAACATCAACATACACCCTCAATATAATGGGAGAGAAGGAAAAAAGAATAGTCATGTGATTATGTTTCATGAATATACCAAATAATCTGATGAAGAGTGGTCAAGTGAGGTTGACGGGGGGCATAGACAAATGACTACTTGATCTATTGGGAGATGCCAATATGAGTCATAGTAAGATAAATGAGAGACCCCACAAATTGTTGATATAATTATTAAAAGGCGCGCCTAGGTGCACATGCGAGGCGCATTTCAAGGTATGCGCCTTGCCTAGGTCCTAGGAGCAACCCTTTCAAAAGGCACATGCCTGTTGCACCTCATGCGCCTTGTGCCTCATCCCAGGTGTGCGCCTTTTGAAAATTTGATGTTTTTTTGCTTTGTTTTGAACATAACAGTTGGGCTGGGGGCTCCGCTTGGACCATCGTGCCACACCCCTCAAGGCTTCGGTGAGTGAGCTAACTGAAGCTTCGAGAACCCACCAATTTGGTAATGTTGTTCATTCATTCATCTTAATAAAATGTCTTCTTAAAAATCAATTACAACTGAATCATTATTTTTTGTGTGAAAACTGTTATAATTCGGTTCTGCCTTAGAGTTCTATTTGTCTGAGATCAGTTATGTAGAAGGAGAAAGGTGGAAGAAAGAGAGAAAGAGAGAAGAGAGAAATTCTGGTTCGAACTGGAAGACTCAACATAACATCTCCCAGTCGGCCAGG